ATCTTTCAACTAAGTTGAAAATAAATTGTTGTTATATCCATTAACATATTAGTATATCGAGTTTGAAATCGTAATTTTCGCTTTAACGGGATAATATTTTGACTAATTGAACTCTACGATTTATGATTTTAGACTAAAATTTTACCATGCTCATAGTAAAAAAAAACATGTTTATCTACACTATAATTTTTATTTAAGAATTCTTGTGAGATATGAGATTCGACTAAATTTAATATTTCGTATTTACAATTTTTGATTGGTTGATATGATAAATGTCTTTCATCAATATAAATAAATTAAAATACTTTATTAATTTTTACTGCCCCACAAGTTAAAAAGATGAAAATCTAAGAGTTTGATTAGTTAAAAATAAAACACAAAATTCACATGATTATTTTCTTAATTTGTATTCATAATTAATATCTGTAATTGTTGTCATGGTGAAAAGTAAAAATAATATTAACGTGACAATGCACCAGTAAAATATTATAAATTTATTACTGTCAAGATAAAAAAATAATATAATTACTACAGTTTTATAAACACATTGGTGAATTAAATTATTAATTTTTTGAATCAAATATTATAAATTTACGAAGGTAAATTTATAATACAAAGTAAAATTTATATAATCTTTAAATAAAGGGCTACATTATTAGAAAATAAGATATATATATATATATATGTATATATAGTCCAAATATAAATACAATTACATGGAAGGGATGGTTTTAATTTGAACAGTATAGAGATTTTATTAGTGCTTTATCTTTGAACTCTTGAATTACAACCACAAAAAAATATTGCCCATATATATATATATGTATATATGTATATATATATATATATGTATGAATATAATAAAATAATTATGAGGGTAAAAAAAGGATATATAAATTAAGTGCCAGACAAAGAGATATTTTTTCAATAAAGTTTTTTTATTAAAAGCGAATGTGACCTCATCCCATCTCTCTACCTACAAGTATTATTATTATTATATAATATTAATTATGTGTTCCTAAGTAAACGTGACTGCATTTAATTTGTACATAGTACCTATAATATTCCACACATGTATACATATATATATATATGTATATATTTATAAAAAATTTGAGATTTAACTTTGAATTTGATTAAAATTTTAATTTTATAAAATAATTACTCAGAAAAATAAAATAAATAACGATAATATATAATATAAAAATTTAAATAAGAATAATATTTTAATTTTTTGACAACTTAAAATAGAGTGTATAATATAAGTTAAATTTATTAAACTATGCATCAAATAATGGGTAAATAATCAACACTGATTTTTACATATTAAATACACGAAATATAGAATTGAATAGATACAAAAGTATTATTATATTACTAAATTTTACATATTAAAAGTAAGTATTTTAATAGTTTCTACATGGATATATTAAGTTTAATATTTTATGTTTAAAATGTTATTAACAAAAATTAAATTGAAATAATCAATAAAATTTATACTTAAGAGGGTAATTAATTACTAATAATAATACGATTAAATTCTCACGATACACAATTTAATGTAAATTCATACTATTTTTTTTAAAAAAATAAAAGTATTAACTATTTAATTAAAAAACAGAAAATATATCAGAGTGATTAAAAAGTTAAAATAAAAAATTCCTATTTACCAAATTGAAGTATTATTGTCATGACGCGATCAAATCTTTTGCGATAAATTTAGGTGCACTTCTGTATATCGTTTCTTACTAATTCGGTACGAAATTGTATATTTTTTATTTGGAAAGAGTACCTAACTCATGAGTACCTAACACTTGTTAGAGTAAGTTAACAGAAGAAGATAAGATTAACAAGAGATTATATATGTGTGTGTATATATATATATATATGTGTGTGTGTGTGTGTATAATGAATAATTTGTCAATTCATGTAACTGTTATTACTTTCTTTTTTTCTTTGATGAAATACTTAGAAGTCAAACCAAGGTGGGGAAAGTAAAAAAGGAAAAGAAAAGGAAGAAAAGGTTTTTGTCTGCTTATCATTTTCTTTTTTGAAGTTTACAATTATTATTACTTGCAGGAATTTTGTGGGTGATGAATTGATAATAAGAAGAAGAATTTGCTCCCCCCCCCATGAATATGATAGATTTCAGATGCATCCTCTTCTTCACGGTACCTCTCTCTCTCTCTCTCTCTCTAGATATATATATATATATATCTATCTATATACCTATCTGGTTTTCTCTGTACAGCAGCAATAACAAGAACAATATTCGTTAATTTGATGGGTTCTTTTCCATTTCTTTTTCTCTTATTTAAATATTATTTCATTTCCTCGTGTGATGATTCTTGATGGGTTTTATGCTATCACCTCCTCTGTCTCTCTCTCTCTCTCTCTCTCTCTATACATATATATAAGTAACTCCATTCTCTTTCTTCTTCTTCTTCTTCTTCTTCTTCTTCAAGAATAGTACGTGCATAGTAATATATATGATCATATCAATTTCCAGAATTTGCGGATCTGATTGCTATGGATCAGTCGGTGGATTTTCTGTACTGAGTAGTTATTTTGATGATAATTTCTTTTAATGATTTATTTGATTCTTTTTTTTTTTTTGGAAGCTTTTGAAATTGGTACTACCCGTACGCTGTAAGTACTGATTTCTGCAAAAGCTGAATCCATGGCTACGTACTTTCATGGAAGCTCAGAAATTCAACCTGCTAATGACGGATTACAAACTCTCTACCTCGTGAATCCAACTTACTTACCTTACTCTTCAGTTCCCAGCTTCAACGCCGCCGGAAACTCGCTCACGCTCACCAACATTCCCCACGCGCCGCCGTCTTCTCACCCTCATCTTACTAGCATCCACCTTCCCACTTCACCTCCCGTCATGGGTCCCACCAATTCCGACGACCCCCTTCGATCTTCAGGCCTCCACGCCGTCAGCCTCTACAACTTGTGCGTCGGCGTGGACCAAAACTCCGGACAGATCACAGTTCCAACTGGTGGCGGCCATGATGAGTTTTACCGGCGGTTTTATCCGCCGGTGGTATCTCCCACATGGCAAGGCCTGTCGCTTAGCTTGTCGTCAGAGCAGGTGTCTACTTACAGGTCAAGCAGCAGCAACGTTGATATGCAAGGGCAGTCCTCGTCGTCGACGACGGCGAGTTTTCCGGCAGTGTCGAACGGGTTTTCCGGTGTGCATGGCGTCGCGTTGGGATCTAAGTTCTTGAGGGCTGCACAGGAGCTGCTTGATGAAGTTGTTAACGTGGGGAAAATAATAAAGTTCGATCAACCAATTACCAACGGGATGATTAAAGAGAAGATGAAGGAATCCACTGCCGGCGAAGTAGCCGGTTCCGGGAGTGAAGCTATCGGCAATGGACATCATTATAAGCCTGCGAGCGAGCTCACCACAGCAGAAAGGCAGGAGCTGAAGATGAAGAAGACGAAGCTTCTTAACATGCTTGAACAGGTATACACTCAAATCCACCATTTCTTTTTTTGTTTCTATTTGAGTCTATTTTAATTAAAAACTTATATTATCATTAGTGCATTTCTATGATCTAATTTCTAAAATGTATGAATTTTTATTTGATATTTATGTTTTTAACGCATTAATTTCTGAAACGTATACACACATATATATATATATATATATTATTATACAGAGCGCTGAAATTAATTGCTCACCAGTGTTTGGGGCCCTTCTGGGAACACTATATTCAACCACTCAAATACGATGTAGTTTTGCTTTTCATCTTCTTCTTATGTTCCTTTTGCTCTCTGAAATTTTGACTGCATCCAGAGATGGGTACACGCATTTATATTATATATATATATATACACAGATAACTTAGCACATATGAATTTATATGTGTGTGTATATGTACGTACAGATTGAGGAAAGATACAAGCAGTACCAGCAGCAAATGCAGACTGTGGTTTCTTGTTTCGAGCAGATTGCAGGGTTGGATTCTGCGAAATCATACACTGGACTTGGTTTGCAAACAATATCAAAGCGATTCAGGTGTCTTAAAGATGCAATATCAGTTCAAGTCAAGGCCACAAGCAAGAGTTTAGAAGACGAAGAAGATTGGTTATCAGGAGCTACAACGACGTCGTTTAAGGTTGAAGCTGGCTACTCCAAATTAAGGTACATTGATCACCAGCTTCGCCAACAGCGGGCACTGCAACAGATCGGTGTGGTCCGAAACAATGCCTGGAGATCCCAGAGAGGATTGCCTGAACGAGCTGTATCTGTTCTTCGAGCTTGGCTTTTCGAGCATTTCCTTCACCCGTAAGTGTATTTATATAATTGATCGAGTCATTCATTACTTATAATTTCCTCACTCGTAAGTTCATCAAACTAAAAACATGAACCAGACCTTTTTGATAGAACTGGAACTATAAGAATTCTAATACTAGAATGCTATCTTTAATACCATCTTAAATTTCATGGGGGTGTTACAGGTATCCCAAGGATTCAGATAAAATTGTGCTAGCAAAACAAACAGGGCTTACAAGGAGTCAGGTCGGGAATTATACATATGGGTTTTTTCTTTTTCTGCTACATATACATATATATATATATATATATATATATATATATACTGACGCTTAATTAGGAGTACTTAATTTAAATCAATGTGATCAGCAGGTATCAAACTGGTTTATAAATGCTCGAGTTCGGCTATGGAAACCTATGGTTGAGGAGATGTACATGGAAGAAATCAAAGAGAAAAAGCCAAAGAATCTTGATGATGAAGATCAGAAGAATTCAACCAATAATCATCATGAACACAAAAAGTATGAATATTCACTTCCTTCCCCACAGAACCAAATTTATAATGATATTGTTGAAGAATCAAAACAAGAGATCAAAAACCAGTTTTCATCAAACTCCACCATGTCCAGATCTCTTCACCAGCACCAAACCAGCTTCATCAACCTCGTTGGATCCTCGGATTATCGTGTCGAACCGGCCAGAATTAATAGTACTAAAGCTGCTGATAATGATGATAATCAGATCAGGAGTAGTACTACAAAGAAACAAAGGATATTGAGTCATGAATTGCAGAATTCCCCAAGCCGTAAGATAGTACTATCAAGTGGGATAGAAATGAAGCAAATTATAACTAGTGGTAATGGGGGAATGAATCTTTCAAAGTTTGGAGATGGTGATGATGATGATGATGATAATGACGATGATGATGATGATGATCAGAATCTGATCAACGGTTCAGGTGGGTTTGGTGGGTATATCAATTTAATGGATCAGCAGTTGAGTACACCAAGATTAATCCATGGAAAATCTAATGGTATTTCTCTAACTCTTGGCCCTCCTCCCCATTGTGAGAGTATATCTCTCTCAGGAAACCTAAATAGTTTTCCCTCTAACCAGCTGCACATCAGAAGATTAGAATTGGGAAATGGTGATGATCAGCCTGATTTCTGTTGGAATTGATTAATTAATTGGTGACGATTAATTCATTTTGGCAAAAAGTTGAGATGAGATCGAAGTAGGAAACAAGGATTTAGGTTTGTTCATGAGATATCTTGTGATCAACTTGCAGAGCTTCCAATTAAGGAAGATGACTAACTGCGGCAAGAAAGGATGGATTTAGCTGCGGTTTTTTTGTGGTGTATATATATATATGTGTGTGTGTATATATACATATATATATATATATGCCAAATGACTTGATGCAATATATATGATAGCAGATACAAGATGCATGTCATACCGATCAAGCATGTATGTGTTTGATGTAAAGAAAGAAAGACAAGCTGGTACAGCTACTAGCTTTACATACATTATATACATATATTGCCTAGATAATATATGTGTAGTTTACGTAATTGGATGAGTCTAATTAGACGTTGAGTTTATATATGGGCTTGGGGATTGTATAGTGTTTTTGATTATGAGACTGTAGATAGATTGATAAAAGATCTTATACATATATATATATATATGTGATGAATGTATGCAGTATACTTTGGAACTTGTATATATACATAATATGGTTTTTTTGGTAAACCTAGCTATATAGTATATAGTATCCATGTAAAAATTATATATTGTATATGATATATATATATATATATGATAATGAAATTGCCCTTGTGGCATATGTACTACCACCCTAAAATATATATGATGGGAGCGTACGTCACATGCATATAAATAGATATATAATATTTACAATGTAAAAATATATATTCTCCAAACTAATTTAATAATAATTATATATATACTGTTTTCATTTTATTTTACAGTAATAATAATAGTACAAACTAATTTTGAATAAGATAATCTCTTATTCTTCAACTTAAATATTAAAGATTTGACTTTAATTTTATACAAATTCTACTAAATCTGATATATATTATAATTTAAACCGAAAGATATAGAACTTTAATACCAGAAGGAAACATTAAATATAAAGTCTGAAGAAAACAAAATCAACTACTTGTTCTACGAAAAATTCAATCTTCAACGCTCCTCTTTGAGTTTTCTATTGAACAAATCAAGTTTTATTCTTAAATCTTCAAATTTACACTTACGCAGAGCTTTGGTAAGTATATCAGCAACTTGATCATTTGAATTGCAATACACTAAATGAATTTCACCATCTTTTCATCTTCACGAAGAAAATGATACTTCACTTTAATATGTTTTGTTCTTACACGTTGAATAAGATTATTTGCAATTGCAATAACAGATTTATTATCCACATAAATAACAGTTGGAACCTCCAGCACCATATTAAGTTCATTCAAAAAATTTTTGAGCCATATAGCCTGGTTTGCTACTACAGCTGCAGTTATATATTCAGCCTTAGTAGTGGACTAAGTTACAACCTCTTGCTTCTTTGAATTCCAAGCAAAGACACCTGACCCAAATGAAAAAACAAATCCTGAAGTACTCTTGCAATCATCTGAATTTCCTGCCCAATCACTATTAGAATATCCTTACAATGCACCATTTTCTTCTCTTGAATACCAAATATCATAACCAAAGTTCTTTTTAAATACCTCAGCACCCTTTTTGCTGCTCCAAGGTGCTTTTAACTAGGTGAATTCATAAATCTTGATAAATAACTAGCTGAGAACATCAAATCTACCCCGGTAGCAGTCAAATACATGAGTTTTCCAATCAAACTTCTATAAAAACTTGTAATTACTTTCTCAGCTTCATCAAACTTTGACAACTTTTTACCTGCAGAAAGTGATATGGTAGTTGACTTGCAATTCTCCATTTTAAAGCTCTTCAAGACATCTCATGCATACTTTCTTTGAGAAAAAAGAATTTCATCATCCAGTTGCTTGACCTCCATACCAAGGAAATAAGTCATTTTCTTAAACTCTGCAATTATATGTTGTTTAAATTGCATTAGCAGCTTTAAGTCTCCTCCTATCACTAGCAAATGATCAATATATATTGATACAACAAACTGATTGTTGTCATCAACACCCTTCACATAAAGAGTTGCTTTAGTTTTGCTCCTCCTAAAACCCATGCTGATCAAATGTGAATCAATTCTGGTGTATCAAGTTTTAGGAACTTGCTTAAGCCCATATGAGGTCTTCTTTAACTTATACACATAATCACCATCTTCAAAAACCTGAAAACCTTGTGGCTACTCCACATAAATCTCTTCTTCCAAGACTCCATTTATAAAGGCTGACTTAACATCTAAATGTAACAGCTTCCAACTTTTCTTTACTACAAGAGCTACAAGTAACCTTATTGTTTCATGTCTTATAACTGGTGCAAAAGTATCACCAAAATATCCTCCTGCAAGCTGAGCATATCCCTTCACCACAAGTCTAGCTTTATACTTGAAGACTGACCCATCAGTATTAAACTTAGTTCTGTAAATCCATTTTATCCCTATCACATTCTTGTTCAGAGGTCTTGATGTTAGCTCCCATGTTTCATTCTTGCAAATTGTGTCAAACTCCTCCCGTATAGCCGTTTTTCATTCAGGATACTTTGAGGCTTCATCAAAGTTAGATGGTTCTATAACTGCTAAGTTGCATCTCTCATAAATTTCAGCAAGTGACTTTGTTTTCTTGGTAGGAGTATCAACAGTAGGATTTGAATTAACATCACGGTCGCTTTGTTCATGTTGAACAGAATTACTCGGACCCAATATAGATTTGAAAGCAACTGAGCCTTCCTCAATTTTTTTTTATTTTAACTTGTTTCTTCTCTCAATCCCAACAAGCTTGTTTATCAAATCTTACATCCCTAGTGACATATACTTTACCAAAATGCACATCATAAATTCTATAACATTTAGTCTATTTTGCATATCCTAAGAATATATCAATTTGAGTTCTATCATCCAACTTGGTCCTCTTCACAAAAGGAATAAGTGTATAGCAAATTGAGCCAAAGATTCTCAAGTGCTTTGCTGAAGGCTTTGAACCACTTCATGCCTCAATTAGAGTTTTTTTTAACTGATCTGGTGGAAAGTCGGTTAAGCAGATAAATTGAAGTATATAGAGATTCAGCCCAAAAACTTTTGGGCAACTCCTTCTCTGACATCAAGCACCTGGCCATCTTCATTATTGTCCTATTCTTTCTTTTTGAGACTTCATTTTGCTCAGGTGAATAAACAACAATAAATTGCTGCAATATACTACAATCATCACAAAATTTTCTGAACTCAGCTGAAGTATATTCACTGCCATTATTAGACCTTAAATTTGTTATCTCACATCCACTTTGTTTTTCTATATATGATTTAAATTTTTTAAACACAGTAAACACTTGACCCTTATTTGAGAGAAAGTAAACTTAGGTCATCCTTGTAAAATCGTCCATAAACAAAATAAAATATTTATTGTAGCTGAAGGAAGCAACGCTCATAAGCCCACAAACATCAAAGTGGATTAGTTCAAGTTTTCTTATTGCACGAATAACTCCACCAGTTTAAAAATTGGTCATATACATTTTACCATACTGATAAGCTGCACATACTTCTTCTCCACAAGAAATAACAGGCATATCACTCACCATATTATTCTTCTGCATCAACTTTAATGCATCAATATGATAGTGACCAAAACATTTATGCCACAACAATGTTTCATCATTTTTAATAGAAAGGCAATTTGATTCACATGCTTCAAACATAAAATATAACTATTATCAACCTTATTAACTCTCACAACCTCAACATTTGCAGCATCATATACATAGCAGCAATTATTTCTGAATAAAACTGAATATCCTTTATTTTGCATTTGAGCCACACTCAATAAATTTTGCTCTAGACCAGGAATAAGCAAGACATCAGTAATTAATTTTGTACCTTATTTATTGTTAATTAGCACTGAACCTTTATCTTGAGCTTTTACAATCATCCTATTTTCAAGTTTTACTTTAATTCTGCAGCTGGCATCTAGACTAGAAAATAGTCTCTGATCTCCAGCCATGTGACTTGTATAACCACTGTCAATGTACCATATATCAACATCAGGTACATAAAGATCTTGAGTAACTATAAACAAACGGCTCTCCTGATGCGTCTGATTCTCCACAAAGTTAGCTTGTTGTTGCTCAGTAGACTATTTTTGTTATTGTTGTGTATTTTATAATTTTTTATTTCTTTTCCAACAAACTTTTGCACTGTATCCTATCGTTTTACAAACTCTACATTGCAAATTCTTCTAGCATTTACTCTCCAGATGCCCACTCCTGCTACAAAGGCTGCAAACAAGAAGTTTTTCTTTTTTATTTGACTCTTTTGAGCTTTGGTGTTCTTTACTTTTAGGCTCAAAAGACTTACTAACTTTTTTAAAGGTTGTAGCAACTTGTTTTCCCTTTTGTCTAACTTGGAATGCATTTTCTACAACACCATCGCTTCTGATAGAAGTTCTTTGCTCTTGAGCTTGCAACTTGCTTATCAGCTTAGCTACTGTCAACTATTCCATATCGCAAGTTTCTTCAATCACTAAGAGTTTTGATTCAAACTTCTCTAGAAGACTGATCATCATCTTTTCTACTGCTCTTTGATCCTTGAAATCCCTTCCGTGCAATCTGATTTGATTCACCGGATTCATAACCTTGGTATAGTAGTCTTTAACACTTTCACCTTCTTGTATCTTCATCAGCTCAAACTCCCTCTTTAATGTTAATAATTTTACATTTCTCACATTTGCACTTCTAATGTACTCTTCCTTTAAATAATTCTAAGCTTTTTGTTTACCGTGCTAAAACCAACCGACCTTAAAAAAATATCTTCTGATACAGATGAATGGAGAATGGATAGAGCTTTGATATTCTTCATGGAGCTCTCTACATCTTGACGAATTTGTGTTAATGTAGGATTTTCAAATAAAGATACCCTATCATAATTTTCCTCTACAGAAGCCCATAAGTCATAAGCAAGCAAATATGATTCCATCCTTACAGCCCAATAATCATAATTTTCTCCTGTGAACACTAGTAGTGCAGGTAGGTTCAAATTCATGGCCATTTTCTGTCAACTTGATGAAGTTTAATCAAAAAACAAGTTTGCTTAACTCCTCACAGCCTACAAAAACAGCAACTCTGATACCACTCTTTAAAATGTTAGTTAATTAAATTTCTGAAATATGGAAGAATATGAAAGAAAGTGAAAAGGAAAATTTGCAGAAAAAATAGGAGTTTTCTGCTGTAGTCAATACCTGAAGGAAACAGTAAACATGAAGGAAACAGTAAACAGTAAGTATGAAAAAAACAAAATCAAACTACTTGTCCCGTGGAAAACTCAATCTTCAACAGTGTTACTCGAAACCTCTAGTTTTGCCAAATGCGTAGTGAATATAGAATGCAAGGCCCCTTTCGCGGCTGGCACTGGAAAACGAGCACTCAGATCTGCACGACGTGCTTTATCTGGCGATCTTTTGCAGCGAGTCGCGAGGGTAACCGACGTGTACATAATCAAGAACTGT